CGGGATCCAAGCATCAAGAGGAATGGCCTCATCGTATCTCTTGCCACTAAAGAACCCACCAACCAGCAAATTGAACCCGAATCGTCCGTCTTTCGTGGCCGGCATGTAAGCAAGATCGTTGTGGGGATGTTCGTAAAGATCATGAGATCCCACAACACAAGCATTCCATTTCCTCGGCCTATTCGAATTAAAACATAACATCAAGAAACCAGGCACATTATAGTTTCCTAGGAACCAATGATGTGCAAGGGAAAAACTTACAAGTTGGCGAAGGCCGGATTGCCACGGGAATTGGCCGTAATGAATTGTGATAACAAGTTGGTATAAGGACGTGTATCTACGATCTCATCGACGTCGATGCCGGCGAGAGGGTTGCCGACGGGGTTTCTCACATTGTCCATGCCACTTCGCAGGCTTGTCAAGCCTACTTGTTCGAGACCATCGAGTATTTCAGGCACATCAGACAACATCACTCCTCGGATTTGCCAGTTTTACCTGGTTGTAACATCGGCACACCCTTCTCTCCCGTAGTTTCTAATCACGCTAGCTAAATATCGTGTTTGAGAACTTGTGGTTACTCCATTTGGAAGCTTCAATCTCATCATAAATCTTCCATCTGTCATCAATAACAGCAAGAAAATTTCTCCAATTGGAAGCTAATAAAATTCAGATTAAAAAGTAAAAATCAAGCCTTTACATTGATGCTTCCTGCGATGGAACAAACCGACTCATTTGAGTCTAATATCAATGTCATCCTTTGTACGCTTAGCTTTATCAATCTATTCAATCGGCATCTTAGCCAGTTCTTCGATCCCTCCTTCCATGAAAAGCTTCAAAGGGTCTTTCTCAATCTTGACTTTCTCTTGAGGGTTGATGCCTTCTCTGAACTTCTCTTTCAACAACAAGTATCCATCTGTTTCTTCCACTCGGGAATCCAATCTGACGGCGTCGAACTCCATCGGAGCCGACGTGTGGGCGGCGAGAACACGTGTTTTGGGCCTGACAGTGGAAGTGGTGGATTGAAGTGGTTGCTGTGGCGTAAAGAAACGAACTGAAAAGGAAGACATGAGGGTGGGATTAGTTGTTTTGAAAAGGTGCAAGTGGTGGAATTGTGGTGGTGGAAAGACGATTGAAGAGGATGTAAGAAGACATTTTTTGTAATGGGAAGAAGGGGACCTTAAGAGCAGATAATTTTTTTTTTTCTGTTAGTGTTTTTGGAGAGGGGACTTTTCGATTGTGTTAAGGGTCAGTTAAACTTGTTAACACGTTGTAAGTATGAACTGAGAAACATGCGGTGGTTCTGTCTTTTACTTTAAAGTTCTTTAGTAGTGATCTAATATTATTATCAACTGTATTTATCGACTTATTTAAGTAAATGTTGTGAAAAATAAAAAGTTAGACCGAGAGGATTTATGAAAATTATTATTTTTTTAAAAAAAAGTGAGGTTAAAATTTATAATATTTGTTAAAGTTGTATTAGAAGGGATTAATAGAAAAATAAGTCATCAAAGAATGCCTCAAAAAAAGGTTTTACGCCTAATTTTTTTTTTTTGTTAAAAATAAATGTTTAAAGTTTTCTTCATTACACTTTTAAGTTTCTACCGTTAAAAAGATCCGTTAAGTGACACGTGTCACGTCCATATTTTTTTAATAAAATATTATTTAAAAATATTTAAAAAAAAACTGGACATGAAACGTATCATTTAACTGTTTTTAACGATAGACACCTAAAAATGTAACGGATGAAACTTTATGCACTTATTTTTAGCGAAAAATTCTTTAGACACCAAAATTTAATTTTGAGTATAGTTTATGCATTTATTTTTATATTAAGCCTATTAGAAAACACAAGTGTTTATCATTGTTTTATTGAGTCTTTTAATTAGTAAAAGTTATGAAATGATATCTTAATTATAAGACAATATTTTATTGAGTTTTTCTATCATTACAAGTTACAAAAAGATTATCTAACTATTTATACGTTTCAAGCTCGTCATTTTTCATTGAAAATTTGATTCTACTAATTGATATGATAAAATTATATTTTTAATGATATCTATTTACACCGTTGTTGCTTTCAAACACTGGTTTGTCGACATAATATTTCAAGCACAAACTCAACATTATAATATAAACGGAGAGTTGGTACACAAAATACAACTAAACCGATTATGAAATCAGATTTTATCATATCCTAATTAACAAATTAACGTTTAGCTCAGACTACCGTCAATCTTTTAATGGAAAATGACGAGTTTTGTACATATAAATAATCGAATGATCATTTTATAATTTTTAATAGTCGAAAGACCTAAAAAGATAGTTTCATATAGTTAAAGGATATTTTTGTAATTTTTAATAATTAAATAATTCACTAAGACAATAGTTATAATAGATGAACCATTTATATAACACGAATATATACCGAGTTAAGTGGTGATTCATGTTTTAAGATTTTGGTTTTTATTACTAATAACAGTAAGTTAAAAAAATTGTATTTAATATTTTCTGGAAAATAATTTTTAATTTATTTGGGAATTAGAGCTAGTGTTCTCGCGTCAAGGTCATTGTTCGTCTTAATTTTAAATTCTTATTTCATTAATATTATATTAGATTTAATCAAATATTCATTATAATTAACTTTTTTCAATTATTACGAATTACTTGTTTTATTGGCCTTTTGCTTCTTATTTGTACCTTGGAAACCACACTTGCTGGCAGCGTACCGCAAATTGGTTCGGCCGCTAGATTTCGCGTTAAGACGTTATATTCCAAGATTTGTACATTATTTTGATATACCATATTTATATGTATTTTAATCAATTATTTTAGATAAATATTATAAAAATATTATTTTTAACTTTATATTGTTTATTTATTTATAATATTAAAATTAAATTCATTTTTATTTGTGTTTGTAAAGGGGAAGAGTGAGAGGAGTAGTAGATTTGTTATGAAAATGACGCTATATATTTTCTTTTACTTTAGATGTCAATTTTTTTAACTAAAGTATATTGATATTGTATTTAAGTTGTATTTATCACTATACAATAATTGATATTGTATAGACACAATACTGATACTAGATGGTGATGCCGGTAACTGTATGGGTTTAAGAATTTTAATCTTTCACTTTATATACCATATATGTAACATTGGTTTGAATCCATATACAAGTAAGCATTATTTTCATTTTATTTCATGTTTCTTTTATAAAAAAACATAACCTACTAAATTTTGATATTTTCATTATTGAAAATAAAATTTTATTTCTAGATTACCAAAAATAGTAAATGAAGATTATTTAAAAAAAGCAAAAAAAAAATATTTAGAAATCAAGCAGTCATATTCCTCTACTTTTTGAATTTAAAAACTCAATCAGTTATCGCATAAAATTAATATTACAATATTTTTAAAATGCTCTTTTAGTTTTAATGCAGAGAGCCATCCAAGTTGCATTCATAATATAGTACTCGTACGTATCTTAGTTATAATATTATATAGTATAATTTTGTTTGGCACTGGTGAAAACATAGTACTCTGCTTACACGTCTGCATCACAAATCTACATAAAAAAGAGCGAATCAGCACAAGAATTTTAATTGCTTATAGTTTCAGGCAACATTTGGAAATATTCCGTTATGCGCTTTACGTTTATAATGTCATCAAGATTCTGAATTTTATATACACTACCTCAAAATAATATCAACTTTGGTACATCTGCAGAGAAACAAATATAAAACTACAGCAGCTCTAGTTCAGAAATCAGACTTGAGTTTTTCAACTTGATCCCGATTCGAACTCATTTTGTCACATGTAATTGTTCTTAACCAAACTATGTGCGTATTGCCGGATAGCTAACCAGTTCAGATAACTAGCAGAGGTTAGAAAGCATGCAAGTTTAAACAAATAGGAAATGCTTTTAGAACGAAATCAAGAAGCTAACAACAGTTCTGGACTTACCCTTTAGTATTGCAAAAACAGGTCATATCATCATGTTCCTTTATGCTGGAACTTACCTGAACACGATTCTTCTTCCTCACATGTCATCTTTCCAGCTATGGATGTGGTCCAGCGGGAAACTGGGGTTCAATGCAGTGGGGCCTCCTCAAACCTCACCGCATCTGTTAACCGAAACTGGCAGTTCATCCAATCCATTCTACCCCATAAAGCAACACTCTGCAAGTCCTCATTTCTCCAGAATCAATCAATTATCTTTAGTAAGATCAAATTGGAGGCACACACACAACAATGGAAACTAAATCATGAGGCTTTACATTAGTAAGATCAAGCTGCTTGCATCAATCATGTGAAGTTCCGTCACCAATTTTAAACCAGTAACTCAACTGAAATGATTTGTTAATGTGCAGGAGAGTGATACATGTTCGTGGCAAAGCACAATGCACAAGTATATAGGAGGTAAGATCTAAGTACTTCTCAAGTAGGTTTCGTCTTCGGGAACCACGGTTCTCTTGGAACGGGGAATGTTGCTGACCTTTTGCCAGCACATACTAAATTGACGTAAAAACGGTCTTCCCTGGGTATCACAAGATATCAGCAGCCATCTTGAAACAAATGGTGCTGACCTTCTTTAGCTAACAGATAATAAATTGATGTAAAAGTGGAACAGGGAATGTTGCTGACCTTTTGCCAACAGATCACTGCTCTCTTCTAGCAGCAGCCATCTTGTAACAAATGGAAGACTTTACTTAAATAGAGGGAACTACAGCAAGCTGCAAAATTAGAAATTGAAATAAACGAAGCAATTCACTTCGATCATCGGTATCATCATATTTCTAGCAGGCATTAGATGGGACTAAGGGCTGCTATGCTCTCTAACATCCCTGTTCTATGATTGTCGTCTATGCTTTGCCGGCAATTATAAGGATCGCATAGTTCATGTACATATAAAGAAAGTAGACGATTGAAAAACATGATAATAACGTCACATTTTCAATAGAGATTTTGAAATTGAACCAGAAATCAAACTCAGCACCTTGAAAAGTTCTAGTTTTTGTATTATATAACAAATCCAAATCCTAAACCTAAATCATGTATTAGGATACAAAATTGAAGTTTAGATCTAGAACCTAAAAAGAAAAACTAATTACTATATCAAATATTGTTATCGCCTCTATACAAAAAATAACTCAGAGAAGAGAACCTCCGCAGTGAATCACTTTGATCCCCCGGAAATCTGCCGCACCGAACATGCAACCAACTTCGCCCATTGACGCAACCTAGTCTTAACCATCTCCGGATCGTCACCTAAAATACATAAAAGAACAGAAAAATCAAATCAAACGATTGAAAACACGATGCCAGAATCGAATTATTAAACTTAAAAAGAAAGTTGCGTTGATACTAGATTTTACCTTGATCAATTATGGAGGCAGTGCTACCAGCGTCACTTAAAGAGCCAATCGATGACGCGGACGAAGACCTCAACATTCCACCGTTATATTGGCGATCAACGGCGCGATAGAACTGCAAAACCGGTAGAGTTTCGGATAGTTTAGGGTTCAATTCAGGAGAATCAGGTTCGAAGTCGAAACCTAAATCTATACAGCCTTTGAGCTCCTCTATATCATCGACGGTGAAGCTCTGAGTACGGCGGAGTCCCTGGCCATAAAGATGCTTCCGCCTGTGCCACGCCTCTTCCCGTTCCGCTTCATGAGACCATGTCCACTGCTTTTGTAAAGCGCTTCGTTGCTGGAAGGGAGCAGGTGGAGAATGCGCGAAACGTCTCGACATTGGGTTCAGAGCTACTCTGGGGGTTTTGAGGTCAGCGAGGGAGAAGAGATGGACAGCCTTATAATTATTATATATGAATTACTGATTTACTTCTAATGAGGAAGATGATTTGTAGCAGACTTCTGTAACTAATGAAATATATATATATATATTACTTATAATGAGGAAGATGAATTATACTCGAATTAGGACTTAGTAGTAATTAACTAATTATACTCTCTGAAAGAGATTTATTTATTTTGAATAAATCTTTTTTAAATACTCTATTCATCCAGGGCGTTTTGTTTGCAAATTTTTTAAATTGCTGGAGGTTTGGTGGCTCCTTGTGGGGGCCATTCTCAATCCATTTGGAATTTCTACTAATAATTCGAGGGTAAAGCTGTAAATTAATACTTAATAGTTAAGTGTCTGGATAATTTAAGTATTTTTTTTATAAATTTTAAATTTAATTTTAATCTTAATTGAGAATTAGAAGAGAAAATTATAGAAAAAGGAAGAGTAATATTCTTAGTGAATTTAAAATCCATAATCTAAGCACGAATCAAGTGATCTTTGTAGTAAACGATTTATTATTTTTTGAGTACTCGGGTTCAAGCATCATAGATGTCAAGGTTGTAAGCGTTCAATGTCAAAAGATCAAATTTTTTTAACATATACTGTTTTATACTTACCCTAGATTAATAAAAAAAATTCATAACATAAAATAATATTAGAGGATAATAATAAATAATTTGCTCGGCCGATTACTTGCTCAAATAATTTAAATATTCTAGTTCGGCGTAGAAAGGTTTTTCAGTTTATTTTATTTTTTATAAAAGGATCAACTGTTGGCCCACCATAATGACGTGGCGCCAATAGATACAAAGTAAAGCAATTGTTGAAGTGAAAAGAAAAAAGTTCCAAGGAGCTTACAAACTGAAGTAAAAAAAAAAAGAACGTAACTCTTAAAGGAGAGCAACAGTCGATACCCTCTCCAATTTGAAGAGATAAAGACTTGAAGGCCAAGGATCAGAGGATGAAGCAGGGGTTCACTGATGAGTGTGAATAGTATATCCCATTCGAAGAATAGTGCCAAGTAGGATCAGGGAGGATCGAGTAGACGTCGGTCTTCAGTTGCGATTCGAAAAACTATATTTGGCGCTTCCTTTACCCATAAATGATCTAGAGAGCTGGAAAGACCTTCGACCTCCATTGCATGTGCTACCTTATTACCATTTCTTTATGTAACGTCCTAATCCAATATGACTCGAAGATCGACAAACTATGACGTTATACAGACCACCAGAGTGGCTAACCAAATTTTTTCCTTAAAAAACATAATCGTTTACTTAAACCCATATTTTGATATTCGAAATCAAATAAATTCATATCACTAGTTTACAAATCGTGAGTCCCAAAATACTTGAAATTATAGTTTACAAAATATTCAAACATTACATTTTTGACATGTCGCACACAGGGTTCATTTACAATAAATGCCCCTAGTACAAACTCCAAAGATGGAAACTGGTGCTAGTCAGTCTAAATAAAGGCTCCTCCAAAAACTCATACTCATAACCTGCTCACGGAAACAAATTCTGAACTCTGAGCTCACAAGCTCAGTGCAACACTAATAACCAATTTAAACTACATTCATCCTCAAATGTTCACACTTAAAATGTACTTAAACATACTTAACTCATACTTGTTAGCATAAAAATATGCTAACTAAAACATACGTACAAAGATAGGCATCATGGTGCGGTTGAGGGGCTACATCTCGGAGCTCACACACCCCTCTATCCTACCTAAGTTGGAAATCTGGAATTCTACATCGGATTACGTCACCCGTTAACTAGCTCTGTTGAACCTTGGGGCATCTACACCCAGTTAGCAAATATGTGCCTAATACATCATCTTAAGGTTGGCCATATCTTAACATACAAATGCTTCATTGTTCTAAAGTCATTCGGGTGTCTGCCACGTTTTTCGAACATCATACAAGGCAAGTCTTATGATTCCTTAAATTTTAGGGCTTTTAACTTTTTTACAGAGTTATCACACCCCCAAACTTAAGATATTTCTTGTCCTCAAGCAATGAATAGTATTAAGCAAAACAAAAATACCATGACAAGTTTAGAAGCATAATAGTTATATGGGATAAAATTTCAGCCCTCAGGATTTGGCTTCAACATGCTAGACTAGTTTGAGAAATCAAGTACTATCCCCTAGGGTAAGATTCTTTGTGTGGGTGTGTGCGTGTTTATATCCAGTCCATGCTTAACAAACCTAAAAATTTTCTAAGCAAGCTTTCTTAATTTGCCACGACATTTACAAATTTTACTCCCACATTGTTTTCTTTTCTTTCATTAATTCTGCTACGAGATGAGTCATCCCATCACTCCTACCATCCCACACTCTAGGTGAAAGAGAGCATACCTTCCACCCCCGAGCTAGTCAAATAGAGTCATCCCATGACTACTTTCATTCACTCATATAAGATAGCTATTATTTATTTATATCAGTTGCCAGGCAATGCCATGGCATAACGGAGTGCCTCTCTACAGATATGCCAAGGTATTTATTTATAACTTCATTTTTTTTGTTTTATTTTTTTAACAAATGTGGGGTTTTCTTCATTCAAAGTTTTATGCCACGATATTTAAGAATTCTCTCATAAAATATTTCTAAGTTCCTCAAGCATGTAAATTATACAATTGTGTATTCAAGGGTTTAAAAGAAGCAAGTCCTAGAGTTGGTTCTATCATCCTCAACCAGTCATGTACATTCTATCCTAGCCATCAAGAATTCTTCATCATCGGACATCCTTAATTAATTCCAGAAAACTAATTCTACATTTACTAATGTCATGGCATATTTATTATACTAATACTATCATGCAATGATTTGGGAACCCTACCTTCAAAACCTTGTCCGTGCTGTGTGAGTACTATATATAGGTGTGAAATTATGTGCAAGTATACACAATTGAACAAGTAATATAGTGATAAGTGAGTATCGTCTCCTCAGGGATTAGAGGAAATTTAATAGGTTCGGTCAAAGCACTTTACTCTGTCACCTAAGTAAAGTTAGTGATGGTATGTACAAATGAGAATGTTGTGGCAAAATGAGATGGATATTGTGGAAATGGAATGGTGGTAGTATGGTAGCAAATGGATATGTCGTGGCAAAGTGGATAGAAATGGAGATGCAACAACAAAATAAAATGTAAATATTGGATTTAATTCTCGGACTTTGTCTTCCTCACACAACAAGCTACTATGGGAATGAGTGATAGGAGTCACTAAGGAAAATCCAAGTCCACCTCTTAGAATGGTCTTACTTCTATGCCTTACCTGTCCGACAGAGTCTACTAGGGTGTCCTATGCTATCTCTAGTAAGGGACTCGATAGATTGAAGATGCCTTGGCAAAACCGATTGGCGTATGCCCCTGTAGTGATCCTATTGGTCCAGATAATAGGATATGTCTCGACAATACCTTTTTGCGACAACATTAACATTTAACCTATCGTTCATGCACAACTCCTTTTAGTCGAATGAAATCCTAGCCTTATCTCTAAGGTGGATTAGGCCTAGTTACTATCTAGAACCCCTTGTTTATGTGGTTCCTCCCTAGTTTCTCTCGAACACTAAGGATGTGCTACCTAGATATTCTCTCGAACCCTAAGTAATATCCTAAGGAACGACTACTCTCATAGCTCCTACAACCTTAAGGCACTAAGCTTCATAAACAAAACAAATTATAACATAGAGAAACAACCATTCATTAAAGTAAAACTTAAATATCCAAAATGAACTCCCACCAAATAGGATTAGTTCATAGTGGGGTTCGAAATAAGCAAACATAAAGCAAGTTTATCCGTTCCTTTCTATCCAAATGATTAAATATGAAAGCAAAGAGCAAAGAGAAGAAGGAAAAGCCTTTGACGTGCAGTAACAGAGCTTCCCTCGGCCACCACGAACTATCCAAATGAACTAGCTCCTCTCGGATGACTAAAACGCCACTCCCTTAAGCTTGTCAATGGAGAAATCCCACGGCAAATAGAATTGACAGAGAAAAGAGATATATTTTCCCTCTTACTTTTATGCTCAAAACGGAGTGGAACTAAAAGTCTCTACCATTGTAGCTTCATCCTCTATTTATAGGGGGAGTAAAACCCTAGGAATTACTATTGAAATTCATAAGATACCCCAAAGCATGCTTAATTCATGTGAGGATCAGGCAGATCTGGCAGTGGTCCAGTTGAGCAGCTGGCATTGATCCAGCCTTGGTGGCTGGCTGAGTACTAGGCATAATCCCATTGCAGAAGGTGAATGAAAGACAAGATCAGTAGTAGGGCGGTGTGGTCCAGCAGGATCGACTGTAGCAGCGCTGATCCCTCTAGGCAGATTTCTCGCTCACGGTCAGAGATCACGTAAAAGTAGGGACAACTGGCTCTAAAAATATATTCTTTCATTTTTTCGCTCTCGAAATGCCAACCAAGTCGGCATTTTCATTCTGCTCAGAAGTCTCCTTATGTCATGACATTTCCCTTTTTCTTTTTCTTGCCCTCAAATCCTGCATATCACCGAACAAACACCTTCCCCATAAAGCATCACTGATTTCAAAATAAAATGCCACAACAAATAGAATTCCACCACATACAACTATATGTTCCTAAATGCGTCTATATGGTCCTAAATGAGCTCTTAGACATTCAATAACTTAAGTGAAAAAGTCCCAAATATGACCTTTTTACGGAGTTATCACACCCCCATACTTAAGCTATTGCTTGTCCTCAAGCAATGGATAGTATTAAGCAAAACAAAAATACCATGACAAGTTCAGAAGCAGAATAGTTATATGGGATAAAATTTCAGCCCTCAGTATTTGGCTTCAACATGCTAGACTAGTTTGAGAAATCAAGTACTATCCCCTAGGGCAAGATTCTTTGTGTGGGTGTGTGCGTGTTTGTATCCAGTCCATGCTTAACAAACCTAAAAATTTTCTAAGCAAGCTTTCTTAATTTGCCACGATATTT